ATGTCTTTGTCAGTCTTACTCCTGTAGGACTCCAATGTCTTTGTCAGTCTTCGGCTGTCTGACGCTGAAGCTGACGCTCCAGGAAAGAGCTACCCGAAATGGACGCCTGATTGCTCAGTTCTCACAGCTGTAGGGCGCACGCCCCTCTAATTAGTTAACTATCTACAGCTGATGGGCGACAATAGACTGGCCCTGCCTATATAATAATGCAGGCTTGAGTGCTGAGACCTGTGAAGCAGGTTTCGCCTGAGCAGATCTGAGATTTAAAATCTCTCAAAGCGATTTAGCCGTTTAAGCTACAATAACAATTATACAGAGTCGAATAAATGAAACCGAGAAGTCTAATTAAACAAGAATATAACTTACAGTGGTTGCTGTATATGATAGTAATTACTTGTCTTTCAAATTTGAAGGAGGGTGAGCAAGCATCTTGACGAACATTCATCATTAACTCCTCCAAAAAATATAGTTATTTAATAATAACACTGAATATGTGAATCATAACAGTGATTGACAGCTGATAGGAATATGATTGTTAATAGTATCATATTCATACAGACAACATCGACGAGACAGTTAATTAATGTAACTTATTGCAGCAGTCTGCTGCATAGATGTGGTACCCCTAAGAGTGAGACAAACTCATTCAGTTATTGTTCAGTTAAAATTCATTAAATGATGTCTGTCACCTTATATTTATATGTAAGGCTTTATTTGATGTGCCACAATAATGTCACCTAATGTTATTGAGTTAAAATATTAATATTGTGGCTTTCCAAGTTAACATTAATTGATATGACTGCGATTAAATCAGCATATACTTCTGCCAGGGGATGCCACCCCTCAAATTCTCCTGCCACCCTCTTGCCACCCCATGAATATGTTTCTAGATCCGCCCCTGCTAAGAGGTGATGCACACACCTGGGACCGGAGCGCTTGGTGACGTTCAGGGATTATAATGGTTAACCTGTTTCATAATTAAAAGTATTCTGTCAGTATATTTGAAATGACTAGGTTAGCTGGTTAGCTAGCTAGCACATCAGCTGTGACAGTTTGCCAACTTAATGATCCCCGAACAGCAAAAAGCGCTCCGGTACCAGTGCATCACTTTTTAGTGTCCCCTGGTTTCCGTCGTGTTTTGGACTTCTTGCAGCGTTTCGTTTATGCAGCTCTTTTATCAATGTGCATGTGTTGTCAGGTTGGTGAAGATTTTTTCATTTGCATGTGTTTTGACACATTTGTATATTTATATTTGCAACCTTATTTCAAACGGCAGCGTGTTTTGGGATGTTCTATCGCGTGTGCACTGTTGGCTACTGTTTATTTCACCCATTCTCCGGTCTCTTGTCCTCATGCATTTACTACCCTCCTCTGCTAATTATATAGAACACTCGCTGATACAACGCCATGCTTTTGTTTTCTGTGTTTGCAGAGGAACATCCTAATAGCTGGTTCCCCAAAGAGAATATGTTCAGCTTTCAGACAGCCACCACCACCATGCAGGCGTGAGTATGGCCTGGACCTGCGCCTTCACTCCCACTCTGCACATGACTACTGTGTTGGCAGGATATGACACAGCATTTTCTTTCCAACTATCACAAATCAAATGAAGTCTACTACTATAAAACATTTTCACTTGTTGCTTTCACCATGAAGCCAGTGCTTCTGTCATTAACCCTTTGTTTGTCTCCGAGCTATGGAAGTCATTGGCAGATGACACTTAAATTACTTTATAACAAACTTGTAATGTAATGTTCCATTTCATTATGTTTTATAAATACAGAAAGTAAAAACATGCAGTTTCAAAGATGAACATTTACATTTTTTCAGAACAAATTCAAACTCAATTGAAAACTGGTCTAGTTGATATATTACATAAACAGTATTTTTGCATTGCCATACTGATAAAAACAATGATGTTGAATGGATATTTCAAACACACACACACCACACACCACACACCACACACACAACACCACACACACACACACACACACACCACACACACACACACACCCACAGCTCCTCGTCGTGACTAGTTAATTATCACCTTTAACCCAGATCTGATAATTATGAGCCTCACACACAGAGACAAAGCTCTCCCACCATGATCATCTCATCATCTCCCACGCTCTCTTTTCTCTCAGGCTAAGTTCCTGTCTTACTCCCTTTGCCCATCAGTTTATGTCTATTCGTGTCACTATTAGTGACAGACTGATATATAGACCCAGCACTAGCCTATATTAAAGATCTTGAACGAGCAGTGTCTTGCACTTCTCTTATTTGGTTTGTTGCAGTTGAAGAGCCCCACCCGGATGTTAGTATTACAAGGCTCCCTTATTTTTGGACTAATGCAGAAAATAAACTTGTGTGATGAACAAGCTTAGACGTTTTGTTAAGTAGGATAGTCTCCACATATTAACACCACTTTTAGATTTTTTAAGCGTAAATGCAATCGACAGAGGTGAAAAACTATGTTTGGCTATAAACAAACTACATCATGGTTGCATCACCACTGCTAAGCTAAAGCTGCTAATGTTCAGCGTGATGGTGTTTGGCAGTCTCATTTAGGGTCTTGTTGGGAACCACTGTTTTTATGACACAAAGAAGATTGTGTTATCCACATACCTTATTTTAGGCATCTAACCAAAACCCATTAAAAGAAAATTGCTGACTTCGAGACGGGGGAACCAGAAGTGTTAAATGCTGATTCATTTAATTCCTACACCACCCTATTACAATTGGCGTCCTTCATCTACACTCTTAAAACAGTGATCCAATCAGATGGGATTTTCCAATTATCATCATCTGTCTATTCCTTTGCGTACTTCATTTCCAACATATATGTCCTTATTAGACTGATAAGGATTCTGTTCTCATTTACTGACAATTAGAGTAAAGGTCAGGAGTTTCCCACTCACGGTGAGTATCATTGGTAAAGTGAGAATAAAGTGCTCTCTGGTGTGTGAGTGGAATATTTCATAGGTGTGTGTTGCTGACTTATTTTTTCATTTCTTCCTCTCTTCTTCCCATGCTCTCTACATGGCGGCTTTCCAAACCACGACTAAAGAATATCGTGAGTAAATCTTTCAACCGCCCCCACTGTTCTTCCTTGTTGCTCTTCCTCACTCAGTTTTTCAGTTAGGTAACATATCTTACACTCTTTTCCTCATGTGGCTTTGTGCTATTCAGTCTGCTGTGTCCTTAACCCCCTGACATTCAGTGTCTGCTGGACTGGCTGTTGGAAGTTTTACGTTCAAGCGGTACCATACCATAGGGACAGAGGTAGAATACATACTCAGATTTAATACTTAAAGAGCCCTATTCTGTCAAATAAATGTAGGAGAAAAAAGATACATCTGCATTCAGAACATAGTGGATTCAAAGAATGTAAACTAGCATAAAATATACCTAATAATATTCAGTACCTCAAAATGTAGTGCAGTATTGAGGCAGTTGAAGTGTCTTCCATATATTTCACAGTGACACTCAGTCAATGTCAACCTAAAGCTGTCAGCTAATGCAACCATCATGACAAGCTTATCAGTCAAAGACAACCATTGCTTCCAGCTAAACCACGTCCATTGTGCTTACGTCTAAAGATAGTCACGCAGTGAGCTGATGAATAGGACTAGTTACAATACATTTTCATACTATATCTCACAATAGTGTCGCATTAGTATTATAAAAGAGAGGAGTCCGTCAAACTAGACAACCAGAATCAGATAAGCAATAAATACATCTAAACATGAATCATTTTAAATCCAAGTAGTTTAAAAAATGTAAGATTTATGATGTCAAATAATATATTCTCAAGCAGTAAAGGGAGTTTGAACTGGCAGCTGTGAGTTAGCTGTCACCAGAAAACTCACTAAGCTGTAATGAATATAAACACTCTTCGTTGTTATATGGCTGCTATATCAGCAGGCACTCGTTTCTGTTGGATTTCATAAAATTATTACACAGCTACAAATTGGAAGCATTTCAGTGTTAACATCACAAAAGTACTGCCCTATGATTCGGTTAATGCCAAACCATTACTTTAGATTAGGGCTGTCAAGTTAACGCGTTAATAACGCCACTAATTATTTAACGCGATTAACGCATGTGTATTTTTTTCCTCGGCCGCCCGTAGTTTCAGAGCCCATCGAGTTTAAAATACCATCTACAAGCTGATGCTGACAGCCCCGCTCCTGCTGCCTGCTTGTGGCAGACCACACTTCCACGCTCACCGGCAGGCACCGACTGGCTGTTGGGAGGACCGGGAGGGTGTGTGTATGTGTGGCCCGAGCGAGCGAGAGAGAGACCTTACGTGCATTGTTGTTGTTAGCTAACGCACTAGAAGGATATAAGGAGCTGTGTAAATTAAAACAGAGGAGCGACATTTCGCCACAACTGCGCCGAGCACTTGACTTTATGCAGGAAGCCAGACAGTGGGACATTGTACGAAAAGTCAGCACACTCAGCACGGATAGTGCGCAACATGATTGCAGCGTCCAGGCAGCTCCCGTTCGAGCATATGCCTTGAGTTGCACATAGCTCCAACAATCCATCACACACACACACACACACACACACACACACACACACACACACACACACAAACACCACCACACACACACACACACACACACACACACAACACACCACACACACACACACACACACACACACACACAACACCACACACACACACACACACACACACAATATTTGTCATTGTTCAAATGATAATAAACATTAGCATAAAGCATATTTGTCCACTCATATGTTGATAACAGTATTAAAAACTTAAAAAATATTCCTCTAAGGTACATTTAGAACAGATCAAAAATGTGCGATTAATTTGCGATTAATCGCGATTAACTATGGACAATCATGCGATTAAATATTTTAATCGACTGACAGCCCTACTTTAGATATAAGTCAATTTACCAAGTACCGATTTTTTTCCTGTACGAATTTGGCGGGATATCTGATGGATTGGTTTATGGTACCAATGAGGATGATGGAGTTTCTGGCAATAGCCGCTTTCACACCAAGTACTTTGCCGTACTTAGTACAGATCGCGTTCACACCGGAATAAGTTCCCTGAGGGAAGATTACGCAAATGAAGCCGCTGACTTCACTTCTTCTTCTTCTGCTTTGAGTTTACTGGCAGGCCACAAACAACTTCACGGCGTATACTGCCGCCCAAAGTCCCCGGCCGGAAGTCCCCGGAGTTGGGGAAGGCTTCAGTAGAAGCTGCTGGGAGTCCCAGCAGCTTCTACTGAAGCCTTCCGAGTAAATCACCAGAATGCCGACACCTCCTCATCTCCACCGCTCCCATGTTTTCTTTTGTGTTGCCATAAGTTATTCTCTCTCCGTTGGTGCGTGGGGCTAATGCTAATAATGCTAATGCCAGCAAATACAATGGCGGCTTCACAAAACATTTCAGAGTTTTACGGGGCGTGGTTTGCAATTCGCCCAGCCAATCAAAATTGGTACTTTTTTCTCCCCAGGCTAGTACCACCTCTCTAGCAAGCACTACAAATGGGGGTAAAAGTTCTCTGAACTAAGTTCTCTTTTTGGTGTGAACGCAAAATTCCAGGCACTAAAACGGGAACTAAACGGGAAAAGTACGGGTGAAAGTACTCCGGTGTGAAAGCGCCTATAGGCAGATGGGGGAAAAAGTCAGGGAGATAGAACATTGTGATGACTTGCAGAGGCAGAGCTACGGAGGCTTTTGGATAAGAAGCAGTACTGATTCCTCTGACCTCAGACCAGGGTTTGTCAATCCGATGTCAGTCCGAGCGAGCCTGCAGGACATCACTTCTTTGTGACATAGGTTGTCAGAGAGGATCCTCATTACGTCTGACAACCTGTCAGAGCCATTACTGTCCCCACGCTGACCAACGCTCACACAGGCAGAATGACGGGTAATGATCGAAAAGTCAATCTGAGATGTAATGATGCTCAAGACTCAGAGAGACAGACATTCAGAATTAGCATGAGCTGATTGGCTAATGCTGGTGATTATGTTGTTTACTGAAAACATATACTGTATGCAGGGTCTGTTTCCCGGTTACTCCTCAGTGTCTGTTCCTGTAGATCCCTATCTTGCATTGTGGTCCTTGTGTGTGTGTGTGTGTGTGTGTGTGTGTGTGTGTGTGTGTGTGTGTGTGTGTGTGTGTGTGTGTGTGTGGTGTGTGTGTGTGTGTGTGTGTGTGTGTGGTGTGTGTGTGTGTGTGGTGTGTGTGGTGTGTGTGTGCTACAGTACTTGAGAATATCCACATGTCTTTTGCCTCTGGTGGTTCCTGTGCTGCTCACTCTAACCAAACCCCTCATTAACCTGTTCGGATATTACAGCCTGTCCTCCTCCAAAAAATTACCAAATAGGTTGATTGTTCAACAGCTTATTACGACATATAGTCACGTTTTAAAGTGTAGCACCTCTAGTGGTCGTGTAAGAAACAACAATTTGCGGCATATGGGCTGATGCTCCCGTTGATTGCAAACGCTCCGGTGGGTCGTTTATTCACAAATAACCCTCTCTGGAAAATCCTAAATTGTAGGATAGTTTGGCCATTGAAATGCTTTTTGATTAGATTTCCAGTGAGAAGTATATATTGTACTTTTAGAATCTACGTCCAGTGGATTTGTAGGATCTATAGTTTAATAGATATTGTGGGGGAAACTTCTGAAGCAATTGGAAACAGGACTCAGAGAGAGACGAGGAGAGCTGGAGCTTTGATGGCAAGCACTGATGGTTTATTTGGAGTTATGGCCGGAGAATTGACAAGACAGGTGGTGTGTCACGAGTTGACACAGCGGTTGCCAAACCAATTCTGAAGAACTCTCAAGGTTTTAACTAGTTCGGAGTGTAATAATCGACATTCTTTATCAGTGAGACTAAACAATTATGGACCCTGAATCTAACTAGAGCTCTCGTCCATAGGAAAGAATGTGCCCAGGGAACCTACGTCCCTGAACAGTAAACTACCTCATGGCGGCTTGTGCTCTGTCATAGACTGGCAACAACAATGTGCCCAAGCTGCCCCTCCTTAAGAGAGATAGCAGCAATACCCAAGGCCGTAGACCTATGCCATGGGAAAGGAGACAGTGAGAGGAGAAAATGATGAACTGTGTCAAAGGTTGAATACCTAAGCAAATTATTCCCTAACAGATATTACGAAGATTATTTGAGGTCACGTCAGGAGAACGTGTATATACTACGTCTTTCCCCCTATTCATTTCTATTGACGGCAGCGTCCATGCAAAGTTAGCGTCAACTCTCACAGGGTGAAAACAGTATTTCCTGTCTCGAAGTTTTCATAATAAAACCCTATTCTATTCATCTTATTTATCAGAGAAAGAAACCGAGACCATCTCTGTCACTCCCAACCCAGTCTCACAGAAAATGTGTAATAGCTACGTTGGTCCACAGGGCCTAACTGTTAAATGACTGAACTTCATTCTTCTCCCTATTTTACAGCACCCCAATTTGGTGATTCTACCCAGTCAGGCATATTCACATAGCTTAGGTCAAGTGGTTTATAACAATTGGTCCCATGTATGTAGTCCCTTCTGTAACAGAATGACACGCACTTAAAAATTCACTGAAGCCAAGGTTCAAAGGTCAACAGTTGAGAGCACAACCTTCGTATACTCTTCAGATTGACTGATGTTACTCTCCAGAATGAGACCTCTCCAACAACGTGTTGTGTTTACTCCCAAGACCACGTTTACCTTTAGCCATTTCCTCCACACAGCCTGAGCCCAGGGTTACCTCCCTGAACCCTTTGGAGCTCAACCTCAACAATACAACTAGTTAGTACTTTACCATTACTATTCACGTGCAACACTTGTGTAATTATCATAACCAAGCCTATTATGGACTATTCCAGGCGTATGCAGTGTACCATGAAGCTGCACACCTGTAACAGTCAAAGACAGGCAACTGATGAGGAGTTGGAAAGGTCGTTTCTGAGGATGTTACAAATAACACACAGCATACAATGCCATAATAACTTTGTATTATTAGTGTAGGACACTTATGTATGTATAACATCTGGAGATGGAGATAACTTTACAGGA